ATATATATATATTTATATTTATGGCCTCATAATATTTTGTAGTCTTGGGGTCTCAAAATTTTCAGGATTGGCTCGTGAACTACATCAAATAGTCATTTGATAATTTGCACAAAACTTTCCATGTAGCCATCCTTAAATCAAATATATGTGTATGCCGAAACAAAAGAAAGCGATCATTTGTTTTCTATTTACAAGATTACACATTTCACACAATTGACCATACTTTTTAAGACCTGGAACCTTAAAAGACAGACCTTAATCCCTCAATTTCAAAGATTGGCTTTTACAATTAGAATGGAAAGGAACTGAAAATAGGAAATAAACAAAAAAGAACATCACATTTCAAACAACACACACTGTATTACAGACCCCAAATGCTAAAAACAAGCCTTTACAATACAAGCTTTGGCTTCAAGATGCTAGATTTAATCTCCTTATGAGGTAAAACCATGCTTTCGTTGCTGTAAATCTCATCCACAACATGAACGTCTTCTCCTAGAATGGTCATGTTCTCTATGCGAGCCTATTGTCCAACAATTGAGTGCCAGACAATTATGTTGTTCTGGGTGTATATGATAGCGTGAAAAATTTGTTTATGTAATCAAAGAAATAAAGTTTTATTAGGAGGAGCGTGACTAAACTATATATACATATATGGGGTTGAAAATTGTAGTATGAAAAAACTAAAAATGCAGCCAAGAAGTAAGGAGAAGAAGAAGTAGTAGGAAATAATCCAAAGCAAGTGATTGCACTTTTTCCTTAAGACAATATTGCCCCACTACGGTGCTCACATTTGTCAACACTTGTCTCGAAAGATACAACGGATCCAATTCTTGTGATAGTAGCACTTCAAACCACAAGACAACGGTGAATATGACGGAATTCCCTCTCTACAAGGAAAAAGGGTTTTGGACTGAATTTGGGAGAGTTTTTGTAAGATATTTTATGAATGCACAATGCACATATGGTATGGGATGCAAAATGGACGTTCAAGGGGTCCCATATATAGAGAATGAAAGGTTGTGAATGAAATGCCACGCCCCAAGTTCAACATCTTTCGCCGAAGTCGCACTATTCACTGTCGCTAGCCTGTAGCCATCGCCTCGCTCCAGGGATAAAATAGTTACTTTTTCGCTAGCCCGTCGCTCGAGTGACAGTCTAGCCATAAGCTAACAACAACCTTAGTAGATTTTTCAGACAGCTTCCTCTATTTTCTTTCCAACTTTGGACCATAATTTCTCATTCATCCGGAATTGGTTTAGAGATTCCAAATATATCACGACGATCTACTCGACGAGTAGAATAAGTTGGTCTATTTACTTTTGTAATTTGACCATCGGATCAATTCCAAATAATTGGTTGAAGTTAACACAAAAGTCACTTTTTCGAAGTTTTGGTTTTATCACTTAATCAAATACACCCTGCATTATAGTGCAACGTGAGAGCCTAACTCCAGACTCCACAACACAACAAGGGCCAATTGCAACATCTCGTCCAATCAATCTACCAGCCCCAATTTTGGCACTCATCCACTAGGACATTTCCAATAATATGAGATCCAGAGGCCAACTTTGGATAAGCTTTCTTTCTCAAGGAGTCCAAGTAAAGTCTCAGTCCACTAATGTAATCCTTTGGTTGTTCAATGTCCATCCGAAATCCGGGCAGGACCATCGCGTATAGCGTTTTCTAGTCTGCAATTTTTGGGAAAACCTCTTCCTCAATTGTGTGGGATTTACTCAATATGATCAAGAATCGAAGGGTTTAGCAGGTAAATGATAGCATTTATCTTATTTCTCATAAATAATTTAGGCTTCTCAACGAAACTCTCCACTTGTCCAGTGGACTCGTCCATAACAATGACACCATATTTTGAAGGTTCGTCCACTTGTATCAACGAGTAAAATTAGCTTCTTGTCAAACTTTAGCTACTGAGAGACTCCCCGGTTGCCACCCAATTTTATACTTGGTATCACCAGACCACCCAATTTCATTTTGTTTCACCATGGCTACCCAATTTCATAGAACATTTCACTATGATCATCTAATTTCATATGACATTTCATCATGGCCACTCAGCTTCTTTTTATTATTTTCATTAATTTTAAAAGGTGTAAAACAATAACTTTGTATTATATATATAAAA